TTCCGAACAGTTATTTAAGGCGAATTGAAACTTATTAGTTTACAAAACAAAGGAGGAAAGGTAAGTCTAAAGAAGGCAATAATTATAGATACTAAACTATGATAAGAAACCTTTTATAAAGCAGTAGAGACAAACGTGTGGTCCAATATTTATTCACTCAGAGTCAACCACAATTATATGGTAATCCACTTTCACAAAACAGACCACCAAATAAAACATTGTTGAGTGTGAATAGCGATGCACACTGACATTATTAGTTGGGAGTGTTACAGTAAATCGAGGATGTTGAAATTTGACTTGACAATCTACAAATATAATTTTCATACCACGATCGTCATCGACCTACTGAACAGGACTATCCTCTAGGAGTGCGTGTTGAAGACCATAGGTTTATTCACGTTTCAAAATTTTAGTAGAAAACTCACTGAGATAAGGTGAGAAAAAGAGCCATTCCTTTCCACTTCTAATCCAAGTGTGGTTGACAGATCTTCGAAGTGTATTGTGGCGTGGAAGATGTTACCTAAATGAGGACTTATAAACTCCGAATAAATCGATATTGTTTTACTCTGCGATAATACACCGGTCATTGAAAGTTTCCTTGGTTTTTGACTACCGTTATCTCAGTAAGGTTGTCATCCTAGCGGCATCTGTGCTGTGTATTGATTGCCGATCCTAGAACAAGGTGGATAGCGAATACGTGGCCAGCTTACGAAATAAAGCTGTGGAATGACAGATAACTATATACGACTAAAAGAGGCTAGTCTGTTACAATTTAAGTAGAGTCCCAGAGACCGACCAACTGAATGGGTTCACACGCCATCAGATACGATTCGTAATAGAATTAAGTGACGATTTTGTTACAGTTTTCTATCGAGTTTTACATAAACTTACTTAACAAAATCTACCTTGGTTTTTTTTCAAGATTTATTTATTTATTATTTATTTGAACACATAAATATTGGTACAAGAGAGCGCCAATATATATGCGCCACACAAAACAATGAAAATTCGAAGAGAGATAGAAAAAAAAAACTAAGGACCACAAAAGGTAGTGTGGTTGTAACGATGGAACAGAAAGGTACAATCAGAAGAAATCTTTCAAGTAAGAAAGACACAACCACTATTATGAAGAAAGTAAAAGAAGGTTATAGCAGGATCGCCACTGGCTTCTATTCTGAGCCATATCTGATAACGTCTCTAGCCACTGTGTAGCACCATCTCTCAGACCCCAACCAGGGAGTCGTGAAGGACCAACACAAGCCAGTCCTTTGCAGCTTTCTTTCATACCACGACACCATGTCATGCACTGACCACCTCTCCGCTTTTTCCAACCAGTCCCAGAGTCGGCAAATAATGCACGACGTGGAATTCTCTGGGACGACATTCGTAGAACATGTCCAAGCCACCGAAGTCGGTGTTTCAAGATGGTGACACCAATTGAATTATCATCTCTGTGCCCAAACACACGATGCCGAACCTCTGCATTACTGACATGGTGTTGCCACTGAATGTCAGCAATCCTTCGGAGACAGCGATGATCGAACACAGAGAGTCGTCTAACGTCCTCAACTCGGAGAGGCCAGGTTTCACAAGCATAGAGCAAAACTGCTCTCACCGACGCGTTGTAGATCCGACCTTTTACAGCCAGACTAACATCATGAAGGCGCCAAAGATGGCCCAGATTGGCATAAGCCACTCTGGCTTTCACTATACGTGCATTGATCTCATCACTCACACCCCCACCAGCACTTATGCAGCTACCCAGATACACGAACTTCTCGGCTACGTCTATCTGCTCACCATCCAGGGTGAGTACAGGATTGGAATCCTGCCAGTCTTGTAGAAGTACTTTGCACTTCGAAGGTGCAAAGCACATACCATACCTACGGACACTGATTGCCAACTGATTAAGTGCAGATTGCATGCCTTGGGCATTATCGCACAGTAAGACAATATCGTCCGCATACTCAAGGTCGAGAAGTCTTTCTCCAGGCAACAGATCCACACCACCATTACTTACATTCATCAGAGCTGTTTCCAGAATGTCATCGATGGCAAAGTTGAAGAGGAATGGTGAGATTGGGCAACCCTGCCTAACCCCACTACTCGAATGGAACAATGGAGAGAGGTGGTTGTATGCCCTCACTCTGCCTGAGGTGTTTTTATATAGGGCTTTTAGGATGTTAATAAACTTCTCAGGCACACCCTTCTTCAATAGACAATCCCAGAGAACAGTCCTGTCCAACGAATCGAAGGCAGCCCTAATGTCAAGAAACACTACGATTGTTGGCCTTTGATAAGTATGACGATGTTCTAACATTTGGCGGAGGGTGAAGATATGATCAATACAACCTCGACCAGAACGAAACCCAGCCTGCTCCTCGCGAGTCAATCTTTCTCGGGTTTTGAACAACCTACGAAGTATGACGGAAGCCAATAGCTTGGACGCAATCGGAAGTAGACTTATCCCCCGATAGTTGTTGCAGGAACGACGTGAACCCTTTTTAAAGATAGGGACCACTATCGACTCATTCCCTGACGTTGGTACACTCTCTAATTCCCAAACTTTTGTAAACAACGTCGTCAGTTCCTTTGTCAGAATGTCACCACCATCTTTGAAAAGAGCCGGAGGTAAGTCATCTGGGCCAGGTGATTTGTAGCGCTTCAAGAGTTGGAGTTCCTTGAGGACTTTCGCCTCATTTGGTGGATCAATCGTCACCGGCCATGGAGTGCAGGACAGTCCGATGGATGTTGCCGGAGTAGCAGGCCAGTTGAACTGTTCTTCGAAGGATTCTGCCCATCGTCCAAGTCGTTGATGGATGTTAGTGATTGGCATCCCGTCATCCTCACAGATTGTTTCGCTCACACCAAACTTCTTGCTGCCAGTGGCTCGGATGAGTTGGAAGAGCTTCTGGTAGTTACTAGATGCAGCTGCTGCTTCCAGCTCATTAGCACGCTTCGACCACCAAGCTTCTCGGTCCTTACGCAAGCTTTGACCAATTTCCTTACGTAACATCCTTCGTTTATGGTCATACGGTCACCCGAAGTCGACTGACGGGCTTCAATGAGTTGTAAGGAACCTGCAGAAATCCAGTGCTTATAAGCGGGACGTTTCGCGAACCCACAACTGACTGAACCCGCCAATTTCATGGCGTCATGCAATTGCAACCAATGCTCATCTATACTTTTCGGTGGAGTGGTAGCTAGCCTAGAGGCTAGCTCGGTTCGATACTTACTTGCAACAGAAGTTGCAACCAGCTTGCTAATATCAATCCTTTGGTGGCGGTCACTTCGTTGTCCACTGAAAAGTAAGGCAAGATTGGCGCAGACCAAGGCATGGTCAGAGTCCAGATAGGTACTCCAAAAGGAGCGGCAGTCTTTTACACAACCACGCCAGCGGTAGCTGATCGCGATGTGATCAATCTGAGTCCAGGCTTGGGATGCAGAGGGAGGACGCCAGGTGGCACATCGGCGATCACTGTGCCGAAAGTTAGTGCTAGCCAGAAACAGGTTGTGGTCTGTGCAAAGTTGCAGTAGACGGTCCCCGTTATCTGACCTGCGACCAACGAGTCCCCATTGGCCACCTAAACGACTCTCTTCTGTGCCTAGACGCCCGACCTGAGCATTCAAGTCTCCGGCTAGTACTACAATATCTGTCGAGCGCACTTTCTGGAGAAGAACAGACAGCTGGTGGTAAAACTCATCCTTGATTGCATCCGGGCTGCAATCTGTCGGGGCATAGGCAGAGATGACGAAAAGACATCGTTTCTCACGCCGATTTCTTCTCACTTTGATGGAACTTTCTAATCTAACAGCACATAACCGACTGTTAATGGGGATCCAATCGACTAGTGCTGCCTCAGCTCTAGCGCTTAGTGCGACACCAACGCCAGCAAGACCAGACAAAGATGCCACAGGGTACTCGGATAAGCGCACGTAAAACAAGCTTTTCGAAGCGACAGATGGAGATCGAATTTGTAGTACTTCGCCAGAGTCTTGAATACGGGTCTCGGATAGACAACAAACATCAATATTAAGACTTTCCAAAGACATAGCCAGCCCTATCTGTTGTCCGACCTGCACTAGTGTGCGAACGTTGAAGGCAGCCAGTTTGAATGGTGCACGTGGTTTCAGAAAAACTGCTTCAGTACTCGTACTTGGTGGTAACATACAATTTTCAACCGGACAGTGACTCGAGAACGTTTAGATACAGTCGAATTTCCACCAAAGACGAGCCGCTGTATAAGTATAAAAGAGGGTGAACAATGTGGAAAATAATAATAATAATAATAATAATAATAATAATAATAATAATAATGACAATAATGGTATTAATAATGACAATAATAGTAATAATTATTTGAATCGATTGAATGTTGATCGGAGCGAGGAAATTAATTGCCATAGTTATAGAGTTCATGGTTTGTGTGTGGGCTGTGATACTGCCCGGGTGCCCAAACCGAAGCAGGTGGTTATCTTAGGGGGCCACACCCCGAGCCTTTGACCTAATGGTCTAACCCACAAGGCAGTGGAGCATCGTAAGGAGATGCAATCCCATGGTAGCCGGTGACCAACGATTGGTTCATACGCCATTTGTTCCCGCAGGATACTGGAGCCCATGTGCACCATTGCTTTGTGATCCGGTTAAAGCGCCGGACGTTCGCTTTTCGTCCTCATTTTCGTAAACAACACCCCCGCCACGAGAAGGCAATGAGTAGGACTTCCCTGGCAGAGGCTGTATACGCGCGGCCGTGTGAGAGTATTTCGAGAGGGAGAGCGGACTCTCCCCACTCTCGGCCGTACCAGGGCGTTCGGGAACTAAACATCAATCTCACCCATTTATTGACCAGTTATATGACAGTTACCATTTCTTCCACATTGCATGGTAAATTTATGGTAGCATTGTAATAAAAGGTTTTATTGTATATAAATTAAGGGTCACAGAATTAAGTCCATATTGGTGAAGATTCCCAAACAAAGAAAAAAGGCCTAATGATACTTAGATTTAAGCAGTTCGTTAGTTGTCAGTCAGCGATAAAAATTGTTTCCAAGTTGTAAAACTTTTAGACGCATTATTGGACATAAGAAAATCATGAGTGAAATAGAATAATAGACTACTTGCCTTAGCACCTTTTTGGTCCCCTTCTGTGCGAACACCTAACAAACGTCGTAGAAGAAAGAATGATATTTCCAACTCCACATATATGTCAGGCAAGGTGCCAACCTGTCCTAAAACATGTCCAACCAAACGATCAGCGCGACACAACTGTGGATCGATTTTTGTCCCAACTCCAATTAAACCTCCTGGAACAGCATAAGCAAGGTCATTCTGCTCCGCGAAAAGTGACACAATACATGAAATAATGGGTCTACAAGTAACGCCCCCAGTCTCCGAATCTTTTGAAACGAGACCTGGTCTAATTTCTATTTTTTGCCCAACCTGTTGGAAAATGTTACATAACACAATTGAACAAAAATTAGGGACTATACGGAGATAATAATAAAAATTGTTGAAATAAATTATCTAACAAGAAATGAAGCAGAGAGTTAGAACAGAAAATAAATGATTAGGATAAATAAAGCATATATCACAATAAACTACCTTTAGAACCCCTCGCAATATGCTCCCTCCAGCTACTCCACCTTGTAGATCATCCACTTCGCAACCAGGTTTGTTTACATCGAATGATCGAATAACTGCAAGTAAAGAAATCAGACACCATATAGCTAACCATAACCTCTGATTCAATATACACTTAAACTTGTTTGTTATATACAAAACAAACAACTCACCAATCAAACGAGGTGCTGATGTAAAATCCCGTACTGGAACCGGAATGTGATTCACAATGTAATCACAAACAACATCAATATTATACTTCAATTGTGCTGAGATAGGTACAACTGGAGCTCCTTGAGCAACAGTACCCTGGATAAAACGTAAAATCTAAAAAAGGAATATAAATGTGATCAATACACAAGTACATCTTTTCAGTCGAGATAACCAGCACGGTTTGGACCATAAACACCGTCTAGTAAGAATCCGCGACACTTCTACACAACTATGACTCCCGAAATTCTTTAAGAACTTTCCAGTCATACAAGTAACTGGTTTCAGTTTTACTAAAAACTTTTATTTATCTGACAGACACTCCCTGAAAGATGCATATCACGTTCTGAAACACATGTTAACCCAAAAGCACAGCGCAAAAGAGTAAAACGCCAACTGCTAATAAAGTTTACGACACTAAACAACCTGACCTTTTAGTGTGGTATTATTGACACTAATCAGGTCTTATAGACATCAATTACCTAGCTTCCGAGGTCGAAATGTCGACACACGCTAAAGTGCATAAGCCAACTTACAGAACAAGGGTCTCCCGACATACATAAGTTATTGCAAAAATCAAGACAATACAAAATCGGATGGGGAAATTTCACCCGATTTGTCAAGACTTACCTGTGAATATTGTTCGCGTGCCTGACTTTCCTTGATTAAGTCAATCTTATTTTGAAGAATAATTATGTATTTCAACTGCATGATCTCTACAGCAGCGAGGTGCTCACTTGTTTGAGGCTGGGGGCATGTCTCATTGCTGGCTATCAACAATAATGCTGCGTCCATAACAGCAGCACCGTTTAGCATAGTTGCCATTAAAATATCATGACCTGGACAATCCACAAACGAAACATGCCTAGTTAAAAAAACATTGAAGTTATAAAATAGAAAATCTCATACACACTCGTTATGGAGGTTTTCATGATTTGTTTCGAACAGGTTTTTAGCTCTTAAAATCAATTAATAGAGTGTAAATCGATGAATGAGCATAATAATATATATTGTGGTCTAGTGACGGCTAATTAAGATGCCATACTATTGGCTTAGCCCAATGAATGACTAGAAATTAAAGACCACCAGCTAGATGAATAGATTTTAATGCATTGAAATAAGATGCTTATGTACAGAATATGAGCACAAAACAAAAAATGGCAAATGTAATGGGTGATTGAGGAAATTAACACGGCTACTCGTTCTTAAATCAATTAAAACCCCATTGTTAGACCTAGACTTTGGATAGTGTCAATAGTGTCCACAAGACAGTGAAAAGCGTAGTAAACTACTTGCTGAAAAAGATAACCAACGTGAAGTGAGATAATTTAAATGAAGATCGGGATTCCATTGCACATTAAAAAAAGCTGAATTACAGACTTTAATAGGTAGCCTGAACAATATAACAATGTAATGCAAACTATTATGTCAAAAATCCAATATCAGAAGTAACATGACCACTAAACATGACTCGTTTGCTTGTTGTTATAACAGAACAACGGATCTGTCCCCGTGGCTGAACTTGGGATTACTACATGGTAGTAAATGTAATTGGTATTATCCCAACGTACTTACCAAGGGGAATTTAAGTCACGTGATCTCTAAGAAATGTAAAAACGATTAGAGCAATAAAGAATAAGGCATTGCAGTATGAAAGGGAGGCTAAGTAGAAGTGTTGACTCGGTCCCTTGTTTTTAAAATGTTAGGCTGGTGGTTCCATAGCAATTAACTCAGTGAGTAAACAAAACTCTATGGCCAAAGCATTTTCAGGACATTTGAGAGATCTGGATAACTCGACAACACTACATTGTGCTCTTACTCTATAAGAGTAGTGACAAAATGAGTGTTATTAACTCAAGAATCAGCGCGATTTAATAAAAGCTCTGGAAGGAACGAACAGTATTTACCAGAAAACGTTAGCAGTTACTACGACAGATAAATAATTATTCAAATTACCTCAGCAATGTTAGTGTTCCATCACATCCTGGTCTAGGACAGGGAAGGGAATCATCTGTTGCACTTCCGAATGACCGATAACAAGCAGGGCGTATGCATGCTTCACTACTGCATTTGTATATCTTAGCATTAGCATATCCCAGCTTTATTGTGATGTTCCTGATCAATTCATTTTTGTGCCTAATGGTATGCACTGTGGAAATTGCACGCACAACTGTTGTCTTCCCGTGGGCGACATGGCCTATAGTACCGATGTTTATGGTAGCCTGACGACTGATGACCTCCGGTGATAAGGCAGTTAGTTTCGAAACGTCCTAGAAAAAGTTCCGTCAAATATTGAGATATTCCACTAACCAGATCTTCTACATTCTGCACAGCCAAACCACGTTTGTCTGGCATTACGATTAACCGCCTTGGATTCTGATCGTTTTTGGAAACAAAAGAACAAACACATGTGGTCCAGATTGAGAAATTCAGAGGTTCAATATACTTATTAATATATAAATATACTGTATACAAAAGTTATTTGTGCACCTTAGGTATTAAATTTTTTCTCACCCCAACAGCACGGTTTCAGGAAGGGTTACTCTTGTATTACCAACCTGCTGACTGCGGTGGACAGATGGACAAGCATCCTTGATCACAAGGGGAGGTTGATATCATCTACCTAGATTTCTCAAAAGCTTTTGATAGGGTTAACCATACATGTCTTATCAACAAGCTCAAACGATTGGGAATCAGACCACCTCTAATCGATTGGCTCACTTCATACCTAGAAAATCGACACTTTAAGGTTAGGGTTAATTTCACCTTATCTCAGGCGATGGAATGTCCTAGTGGAGTCCCCCGGGGCTCAGTATTAGGGCCTCTTCTCTTCTTGATCTACATAAATGATCTTCCTCAACAGGTAACGTCAGACTTATTACTTTTTGCCGACGACATGAAATTTTGGAGAGAGATACGCAACCAAGACGATACACAGGCACGTCAGGAGGATCTGACTCGACTTCAAAGTTGGGCAGACGATAACGGACTTACCTTTAACACTTCGAAGTGTAAAGTAGTTCATCATCGACACGTCGCAAACTACAGTTACAACTTAGGAAACTCCTCTCTAATAGTATCCCAAGTCGAAAAAGATTTAGGAGTCCTGGTGCCCCATGATTTAAAGTCTTACGCTAACTGTGACAAAAATGCCTTCCGAGCAAACCTTGCACTGATAACGTTGAAGCGCATTTTTGGCCAGTTTGACGGAATAACTTTCCATACAATCTTCAACAGTTTTATCCGTCCCCATTTAGAGTACGGAAACATAGTATTTCCCCCCTCACTCCAAAAGGATAAGGTCTCCCTGGAGGGTATTCAACGGTGAGCCACGAAATCAGTTCGACGACTCAAATTTAAACCTTATGAAGGGCGCCTCTATTCACTTAACCTTTACCCATTAGAGTATAGACGTCTTCGAGGGGACCTTCTGATGGCTTATAGTATACTTAACACTTCTGGACATCCTCTCAAACGCCCACTTAAGCTTAGTTCCAACAATAACCTAAGGAGTAGCACCCAAAAACTGGAGACACAACATAGCAGAACGGAATGCAAACACAACTTCTACTCCTTAGGAGTTGTCAAATGCTGGAATTCGCTGCCGGCCGTGCTAGTCCAAGCGACTTTCCAGGAATCCTTTAAGAGACAACTTGACCTATTCTTAAGGACTAAGGATAGTATCGCACTATGATTTATCAATTTCTTTTCCTGTTTTATTGTTAACATACCTAGGTTCCTACCTACAGGATTTGGTGATCTCCTGCTACTAGACACGGAAGCCTGTTAAGTGAAAGCTTCTTCTATTCCGTTCACAACCATTTGAACCATTTGAACACCACATGTTTGACAAAAGTTTTAGACCTTCTAATATTATATTTTTAGTTTTGACTTGAAAATAACCGAATAAATTCCGATGGTAGAATATATTTAGGGCCTAAGATAAAACTATGTTTCAGATAGATCTATGAGATGGATACGATACGAGTTTGCAACCTCTGAAAAGCAGACTATCTTGTCTTCAAAAATAATAAGGCTCGCAGATGCCACTAACGCTTTCAAACCGGATCATACCAGTAAGGGAAGAAAGCATATGAATAAACTGGTGTTTATGTCAATAAATCTTTGTACAGCACCTCTGTTATCATGGAACTTATTTACAATTAAATGATAGCTTGTTAAAGAACTCGAATCGTCTCTCACATCCACTGGTAACTTTTCAACACTTAACTGTTGTATTTGGGGTCTTTTTAGTACCATCGGGTTTTGTTCTTTCAGCACTCATGGATTTATACTTACACACACTCTTTTTTCTTTGGTTTAATTGGGATATTTTTACAACACACCCGTAAAATGGTAACAAAGAATCAAGTAATATGGAATATATTTGGAAAGAAATGATTGAAAAATAGACTAAAAGTGCTTACTTACTTTTTTGTGTGGAAATTACATTTCCTACTGCCCTTTGTTCACTGTTAATCGAACACCGCTTGTCTGTCTGTGATGGATCATCCCCAGCTGATTTCTAGAGTCCTAGTTATTTATAAACGCAATCTATGTATTTCTATATTCATAGTAGGAAAGTTTATCAGGTCGAACGTGTCAAGATCTAACTATATCTTGGGACTATAAGGGAGCTGTGGAATAGTAGAAATAGTTTGAGATTACTTTAGTGATCCAAACACAAAAATAGGTGGTAAAAAAAGATAAGAAACATGGGTCAAAACTATGTACACCGGCATACGCATGCATCACAAAACTAGTCAGTTTAGATTATAAACTCAACGTATCGGCTATCTTACAAGTATACCAAAAAATATCCAGATATAACTACTACCTTGCTCGTATATCTTAATGAACATCCTGTCATTTATTCTCAGTTGCTTTATTTATTGAATAAAACTACCTGGTCTGTATGTTATCCGTAAATTCATGTAGTAAATGTTTGACTGTGCTTGAAAAATTGGTGTGCAGCTGCCATGGAAGACAAATATCATTAATTGGATTTCTGACTTCTGGTTTGACTGACTTATACTCTGTAGTAAAGGTTTTATGAGCAATAACGCTATCAATCCCAGAGTATCTGTAGCACCTTGTACTCACCTAATGAATTCGCTTCAATTTAGCCGTGATTTTCGAGATTTACTGGCCTCCTTACACCTGTTATCTCTCGTGGGGGAGCCCAGACTACCCACCAGCAATCTCCATCCAACGCTGTCCTGGGTTGGCGTTCTCGGTGCTGAATTTGAGGATCTTGCTTTTTCCGTGGTTTATGTTTGGGCCTAATGATGCAGATGCTTATGTTTCAATGCTTGTCTTGACTTGCATTTGTTGATGTGTATGTCATAGAGGAGCCAGGCCATCTGAGATATCCGAATCGTCTATTTCAGTCCGCGCTGTCCACAATCACCATACTTCCCTTCAGATGTGTAGGTATTCCTAATCCAGTCAACCACAAGAAAAATGAGAAAATACGGGATAAAGCAGGCATTTTTGACTCCGGTTCACAGTTGAAATCCATCTGTCAGCTGTTCTCCATGCATCACCTTATAGTGTAGTCTGTCGCATGCATTCTGGATAATGTTGACGACTTTCCTATGTATACCATAGTGTCGAAGAAAACTCCCATAAGTTCCTCCTATCCACACTGTCAAACGCCTTCCCATAGCCAATGATGTTGACGTATAGTGATGAATTCCATCCAATTGATTGTTCAGCGATGATCTGTAGTGTCGCGATCTGGTCTGTGCACGACCGATCCTTATGGATTCCGACTTGTTGACCTCGAAGCTCGACGTCCACTGGATCTTTCATCCGGTTCAACAACACTATGTTAGAAGCTTGCACCGGTACCGACAGTAGTGTGGTATCTCTTTAGTTTTCACATTTGCTCAGATCTCCTTTCTTTGGTATCTGGATGAGACATCCTTATTTCCAGTCCGTCAGCACTTGATCTTCCCTCCAAATTTTCCTTGATAGAATGTGGAGTATGTTTGCAGTTACTTCTGTCTAACCTTAGTGCTTTGGCTGGTGAATTGTCAGGTCCTGATGCTTTCCCATACTCGGTTTGTCCGATGGTCATTCTGATTTCTTCGATTGTTGGTGGAGTGACATCTATAGGAAGGTCTGTAGGTGTTGCTTCGATGTCTAGTTGATCCAATGGAGCTGACCTATTCAAGATTTCTTCAAAGTATTCTTGAAATTTCAGTGATTGACTTGCCTTCTTCGTCACTGACCTGACTCTCTGGTTTACTGTGTTTCCCTACCAGTTTCTTCGTCGTGCCATATAGTTGTCTGGCATTTCCTTCTCTTGCAGCTTTATCCACTGTCCTTGCTGGGTCTATCACATATTTCTGCTTGTCATTCCTAATACTCTTATTCATTTGCTTGTTTGCTTCTGTGTATCCAGCCTGTGCGTCAACTTCCTCTGTTCTTGTTCGGCTGTTGCTAATCGCTGTCTTGTTATTCCTTTATTGAATCGTGTCCGGGGGTTCCATAGAGATCTATTCCTTATGATGAAGCTTATTCCGGCCAAATACCTCCCGATACGTGAAAGTGTGTGATTTTTTATCCCTTTCCATTTTTCTTCCATGGTGGTCTCCTTTTCTTCCAGTGGATATTGTAAAGCTTGGAACCTGTTGTTGAAAGTTATCTTGAATTGTTTGAGTTTGTCAGTATTTAGAAGGAATGCTGTATAGAATCTTTGTATTGCTGTTTCCCCAGCTGTTCAGTGTTTCTTTAGCTTCAGTTACATCTTGAACACAACCAGTTGGTTATCTGAAGCTACGTTAGTACCTCTGTTTATTTTCACGTCTTCAATTGTCCATTTGAATGTTTTATTGATACAAATATGATCAATTTATACATAAATTGCACGTGGTAACAAGTAATATATATTACTATTGGTGGTTGCGTGGGAATTCCACATTCAGGTACATATCAGTTTCTTTTTAGGAGTCATGTACATATAATGAATACTGACAAACTGTGTCAAGTATTAGATGTGGCTTTTCCTTTATAAAACTATGGAAAAACTCGTGTGATTAATCTTTGAACTGTATAACAGTGAGCGATTACTCATTTATCACTTTGAAAATTATAGAATCCTCGGAGTTCAATTTTCTTAGCATTGGAATACCTGTTTACTGTACCACGCCATCATTGAACGGAATCAGTTTTTAAACTGTTTGTGTGTTTGAGCAAGATTTAATCTCTCAAGGTTGATTTGGGAAGATTATTGTTATGTCTTGTTTGTCGAGGCAATTATGCTTGCAGTTTTACAATGAGTCAGGGTCTAGAAACTCCAGTGGCTTTGGAACTATTTTGCGAAATGTTGGAAACGTTAAGTGAACGACCAATAAATGGTATTGTATTGCTGAGTTGGTCTCGTTCAGATATATTATCTCTTATGTTGAACATAATGTCACTCATTCTTATATCATGTTCTGTTGCTTCATACCGATATTCCTCCAGGTACTTTATGTCCTATAAACTAGTTTGTTTGACTAATCTAATATTTCTAGCTACTCCTGGATATCGATTGCTGGGGATTTGCTCTTTGTCCTCTTGTCAAGTAGCCTTTTGTTCTTAACGTTCCTAACGCGTTATAAAAGGATAATTTCATCTTGTACAAAGTTTAAGACATTCTTAAGATCTTCCGTCGCTTGTCTTAGTAAGTATGTTGTTTCTAATTGTTTGTAGGAAATTTGAAGCCGAATATGCTTTCATATTCACCATGTCTAAATGGACTTTTAAATGAGATGGTTGGTTTGGATACCCACCTTACTATCCGGGATGGAAAAATCGTGGTCTTGCCTGCTGTTTTACTTGTTCCAGGTGATGTTATTATTATTAAACCAGGTCAGACAATCTTCGCTTTCTGCAAACAAATAAATGAAGTAAGGGTATTTACACTTTTACTTTTCGACCTCTGAACTAGAATCACATTTACTTTCCAGGTGATGTTTATGTTCCTCAGAAACTCAGTTGTAACCTGATATCCACCTCGTTTACATCCATTCAAAAATCAGATGAGTCTGTGGTAGCCGTTGTTATCCATTCTCCTTTGGCTTCTTACCTTGATATTGCTTCTAAATCAAGAGTTGAAAATGGTTATACGTTTCAACCGCTTGCTTATAAAGTTGTGAATACTGCAGTTTGGGTTTCTTTAATTATCAAGTGTTCTATAACTTTCATTTTTCTAACTTCAATATTTATTTGCGCATTACCTATTGGTGATCTTAGTCATCAGTTTTATCGCCTGCAAATCTGGTTTGCCCACACTCTTGGTATTGTTATTGCTTCTTCAAGCTTCTCATTGTATTTCATATGGATGGTTGCCACCGCTGTTGTCACATTCCACTTCCAGAATGTTCTTTCTAACGCTCAGGATCATTTTAAACTTATTGATGGCAATAACTTCAAATCTCCATATGTATTTTTCCAACCCAACATGTCTAAGGTGTCCAAATCAAACACATTAACTTTTCACTCGCTTATCTCCAATCTTCGCTGCTTTGGCTTTATGGTAAGCAAGATTAAGCTTGTTTATGTATTTACTAAACATTTACCCTCTGGTTCGTAAATGGTCGTTTTTTTTCGTTTGCTCCGCAGAGTAGAAGTTGGATCTCTAAAAGACCAGTTTTTGCTTTGTCAGGTCCAGCTGTTTTTTTCAGTAGGAGGGAGTTGCTCACACGTACCCAACCCTCTTCCTTTACCCGAGCTTGGGTTAGACAGAAACCCTAGAAGACACACAGGCGGAGTTATTCACATGACAAAATGCATGCGGTTAAACAATATAATCTCCGCCTAAATCCTAAACCTTAGGTGTCAGATCAATACAGAGGTACAGCGAAATTAAAAATTGTGAAGAACTATTCTTATTGTTCATAACTTGGTGAGTTAATTTCAAATATTTTGTAGAATAACGGTTTTCCAACCGCAGTTAGAATAGCTGAAGTATCACTTTGAGTTTTGGAACTGAGAATGTTTCTGTACAACTAGTTACGAACATATAATACAGAAGTTCTAGGAAAGAACAGAAATCCCGTTTTCATAGACATAACAGAAGCAGCTCGTTCAACACAGTGCCCAAAATAATAACCTCCATGTCTTTCTAACCCTTTACTAGTGCTCAGAAGTAAGTAACTTGAGGGGATCAGCTATGTTTCTTAACAGTCCATGAGTTGGATGAACCATCGCCTTCTGACGGGTTTGGAAGAGTGCTTATGACCAAATGATTTTAATGAAATTCTTCATATTAATCCGTTCCTGAAGCAGTTATACAGCGCTTTAAGTTAGGTGGTCGACAAAATATTTTTATAATCCCTCAATTTGTGTAGGCATTTTGTGTTTCGCGATTCCGTGTCCAATTGTGAAGGGCTTATGTGTTTAAATAAGGACCCCGCGCTCCAAATATCTGTGGCATTCTGTAATAGGCGCACTTCAACAGCACCAAAACCTTTCTGTATCTCCTGGATGGGGAGTTAATATGGGTCCCGAAGTCCCAATAACGGGCAAAATTAGGGTACTTATTTACTAAGTAGCGCAAAGGTTGGTTTTCATATGTGCAATACTGAAAAGCGACAACGCATAATTGAACATTTATACCAACTGCAGAAAGCAAAAGAACTAACTACATGAGATGAAAATTTAATAATCTCCAAACGTCTACACACATCAAAGATCCTTAACAGTTAACCGCCAGGTATATCGCATGCGATAATTGACCATGTTAGACCAAGATAGGCATACGAAGGACATTAAGAAAGAACCCTGGTAAAGACAGATCTCCGTGAAACAAACACTGAGAGTTCATTGACAAAATATATATCACCTAGATATGAAGTAACGTTTAAAGAACTGACATTAAATAGCATCAAATATATAAGGCAGGTGGGCAAACATAATCGTACTTCAGTAAAACGACAGCTTTTGGTTAAAATGTACGACTATTTCCTGTGGCAAAATGACTCATAGTAGTTTGGATACCTAGCATTTTCAAAAGTTACAGTAAATTGGTGAGAATCACATAAGCTACTTTTCGAATTTTCCATTAAGTAGAAAATTACACTTAACCTGGTATTGAGTATTGGCCAGTGCAATGTAACTTACTGAGTAAGAGTTGACGTTCTAAAAGTTGACAGAAATAGACCTTTAGTGAGTGCGAATAAGTATTCGAATGCAGTGGTGTGTGCCACTTATCCGGACATAAATAAGCAATATGTATCGGAAATTGGAAGTAGAATTCTTGCTGACAGAAGTGAAACATAAGCAGTTTGCGAAGCAACAGGAAGCTATTAAGATGTATTCAATGTATTGTTCTCACACTTAGAAAAGGCTGTATCCGATTTTGCATGATACATTAATTTTTTGCTCTAATGGATTCTTTATTAGACCGTTGTACTCATAACTAATATATCTATGTAAAAATAGCAGGTTGACTATACAAGTCTCACTGAATTCGGGAAGCACTGAGATGGTGGATTCAGGAAATAGTGACACCGTCATTGTTGTGTAGATTAAAGCAGGTTGTCTACCGAAAAAGCTACCTCCACGTTGGAGGTCACTAAAAAATTTAACGTCCTATGAATGTGCTTCCAGAACAGAATATAGATGCGGAATTCCAATTTCTTAAAGAAATATTACGAAGTATGATGAGAAAAACATAACAAGACAATAACAAAAATATTTTTCCTACCACGCGCTTCTAGTAGAGTTCCTGTCTTGCGACATCACTCAAGGAATTTACTTAAGTCTACATTCTGTTGGTTTGTTCGACAGAATTCATCTTGTAGTCCTTATATCCTCCTATAAAGCAAATCCAACAGTGTAGGGAACAACCCTCAGTAACAAAAGTAGATACCATCCCTATCTCTCTCTGAAGTTGGAAACTGAAAGACAAAGGTTATACCCTTGGTAAACCAATCTGATATAGTCCATTTTTGATTGCTTTTATTAAGGGATGAATCCCTAAATCCAGAATATTTCTGTTAAAAGTTGTCTTGTATCCACAACTTAAAATACCAGTTGCCTTAAGATCCCTTACAACTGGTCACATATTCTTAATAAGGAACACTTTATACAACAGACAAACCAAGTTCATTCAGTCAACTGAAAACACTAGTCATTCTTCAATAGTATACCCAGAGATTATCTTCGTGTTTGCATATATAATTAGCTTTAGAGAACGTTTTCAGTCCAATATAAAAGAGCTGCGTCTCATAGCGTTATTCGACATTTACTCTTATGATTTGTGAATTTCTGCGCATTACCTATTATTTTTTACTGCTTCCTATTATTATTTATTGGACCTTTGAAGAATCTTTGCTGTTATGAAGAGCGCTAGAAACAGTTTACAAGGTATACAATGATTGTTTCTATGTCATTACGAAAATGCTTATGGACAGGCACTCATAATCTTACAAAATGCTACCGTGTTATCTTATCAACCACTCTGTTAGCGGTATATGGCTTATATTAAATCATGTTCTGCGCGAAACTGTGTTGAAAACGCCGATTAGACATTTCGAAGCCACTAAGAGATAATGGACAATTGGAGAAGGCTTCAAAATCCTCTTGTATAAAAGCATGAAAACATTAACGCCTTTCTTATCGTAACTCTTGTTTATTTGGAATATAGTAACGATCCTGTTCAAACGTGTTCTGATTTAAAGACTTTCCGAGTGTCCAAGAATATTAAACAATGAGTATAGTGATATTTGTTTTAAACCACGCGATCTTTAGGGCAGAAAATATCGTAATTGATATTCACATTTAACATACAACACTTAGAAGAGGCCATAAATAAACACGGAAGACTCAAACAGTATAGCATGAAGCGATCATTCAGGTGTAGTCACTCTATGTAACCCCTCGCTCCTCGTATAAAACATTATTTTCTTCACGGCTGAAAAGCATTCTCCAGGACTTTTTTAACAGCAACCACTAACTGTTACGATAGTAGGAGTCGGTATAGATGATGATGTGACTTCCCCTACGGTCCAGTGAATTGAATAGTTACATCATCACAAATCTAAAATTGTGGCATATCTCTATTGTCCGAGTAGCACTGATAGGCGTATTAATATGGACCTAGACCAGAATTTTACGAAAGTAGCTGGGTCGTAATTAGATATATCATAACGCAGTCAGTACATAATTTTCTCTTGGTAGAAAGAAACGAGTATATATAAGAAGTCATGGATGAAAGCAAAAATACATAGGCTCTACAATACAGTATTCTGAACAGGTTATAAGAGCTGATCAGATTTAAAACACGTTTATGAAAATTCTGCGAATTCATTGTTGTGTAGATTATTATTTTCCTAAAGATATTCAGTTAGTTCTGAGTAATTCATTCTTTTGTTTCATGTATACTATTTATACCAGAATAAATTAGTTTGGTAATAGTAATAAATGTGGTTAGTACGGATACTTGTGTAATTACTAAGTCAAGATTCAAAACAAAGTAGTTAGGTAAGGGAAAGTTCCAAATAGATATTACCACCTAGTTACTGAAACAATAACTGTCCAAACAACCTAAATAATCGAATGTTTCAAAAAACAAACAATAAAGAAGTATTTTCCTAACCTTTCTGTACATTTTTAATCGAAATATGATATTTACCTACGTTACAACAATGAATGTTCCTGTTCTGAAAGTGCGGTTTCATTCACAATAAAAAACAACACACTTCTAATCACTTCAAGCAATAGAATCAAATGAAGAAATGAATTAATATGGCAGCTGACATAACCAAAGTGGCAGGAAAAATAAAGTAAATGTCGTTCATGAAATACGTAGAAATTTACCATAAACGTTTAAACGACAAAACTGCGAGTCCGAAACAATCAGCTCCGACTTAGAACCAGTCAACCATAATCTTAAATTCGGACAGATCCAAGAGTGCTATTCGTTGGTATGCACAAAATGTATTTCCTTGGCACCAAACGAGGACTTCAATTATTTTCATCATAAACTACTTATCTTTTCCAACCATTGTTATTACCTGAGTAGCATCAAACTATCACTCTAAATAAAATCAGTAGATGCATAATTTGTCGTATCAGATTGTCTCCTCTAATTAAAGCGAGAAAGATTCCAAAGTCAACTGCCCATACATCGGTAAACCTAGCAACAATAAACTACACCTAACTGATAGTTCATTGCCAAAATGTACTTTGGTAATACAAATATTTTAGTTTTTTGACGAACAAAGTGGTTTGAAAATCAACTAAATCCAGCCTAGAATGTACTCACCAATGTTAGAACTAATAACTGGAATTAAAACAGGCTCGCATGGTCGCTTTTATCGCTTTCGGTTGTTGTGATTTGCTTGCATATGAACCACAGATTCACTGACCTGCATTAGCAGACCTTCCAAAGATTGTGGAAAATATCTTGTGCGGAGATTCTTTTATTTAGGCAATTTTGCCATTGTTCTCCTTGCGCACGGTCTGGCAATTCAGAACTGAGGGACTTTATCTGATTTCCTCTCAAGGTTCTTTAACTTTGCAGCAGTAGTAGGATCGACATTTGTTTTCAAGTCTTTGAAGTTTCGTGCTTGCACATGAGAATTAGCA